TACAGCAGTAGCAGAACATGGAACGGGAGCAAAAGCAAAATCTAGAGTGACGAAAGCGAAGCGAGGAAAAGGGGGTCAAGAGAAACAAGGAAAGGGGAGCCAAGACCGACCGGCGTTCGTTGCGAGAGAGTGCCTTATGAATAGTAGCCAAGAAGAAGACGTCAAATCTGGAAGTCAAAGTGAAAGCTCGGGAACCAGAAGGAGTACCAGAAGAAGAAATCCAGTAGATAAAATGGGAGGAGTCATGATCGAAAATATCCAGGGGGCGGAACAAAAAGGAAAACATCCAGGGGGAGAAGGAAAGTGAACCTTATTTAAAACTCATTTAAAAACTCGTTACCCAGGGAGAGGGATGGCCATAAGCCGAAAACTCAAGTTTGTTGTATCGAGGTAGTTGAGGCGGCAGGTTGAAGGTTATTAATTATTTTATTAAATTTAAATTACTATGTGTTTAAATTTTAAATCCATACGGAAATGTCAGGGGCTACAATATGTTCAGTTGTCAATCATCTTAGTTGCAATTCTTTATTTACTTATCTCTGAGAGTTCTCATACTATAATTAAGTGTGAGTTTGGTACCTGCCTGTCAACCAGCCTAGAACTGTCTAGCTGTTATGTGTTGACCTCTAGTTCACTCTCTTTTTTATGCGACCTAGAAAACAGTCAATTCAGTATTTAACAGCCATCGTTTTATCAATCCTTGTTACGGTAGAGAATGGTATAGTTTTGTAGCATTGATTCAGCCCTGGTTGAAGTCTCACCGTTGGTTACTGTTTTTTCTAAGGTATCCCTGTAACTGCTATTACCCAGGGCTGCTTCATATATTATTTTTTATTAAATCTAGAAAATTAGATCTATAACCTGAGAAATTTTACCAAATTTGACTAGGCTGAGTTAAACTATCCGGACTAGGAAAAGGTTTTAAACTAAAACTATATTAATATTAACATCTAATTTACACTTTTTTTCAGCACTAACTTGAAAATTTTTAACTAAATAACCAACACAGATAAAATTTGAACAAAATCAACAAACTTGGCGTTTGCTTTGAAAATCATTAACCTTAGAACTGCCTTTATTCTATTAGGAATACTCCAATATAGCCGATGAATGTAGTCGTCCAGAATTGCCAAAAACATCGCAAAAGTTTGACGATTAAGTTCGTTAACTGTTGCAGGGTGTTTTTCAAGAATGTTTTGTTTCATGTAATTCCATTAATTTTCAATTATTTTTAAAACTGAGATTGTGGAGGTCAATTTTCAAAAAATTGAAAATTTTTTTCTCGGAAAAAATTTGTCGACAATTTGGAGCTAAAAAACTGGCGTTGTTTTGCTGGAAAATTTCGTTCCGATAAAATTTTTTCCATCATGTGGGTGTCAGATACTTCACAATATTTGGCAGAATTAAGGTTTCTGTCGATGAATACAATATCTCCGGAAAATTTTATGCAGCCCCAAAACATCATCTTTTGCTTCCGAATTTTGCCATCGGTGTGATATTATTGGAATGATGACGCAAATTTGGGGTCATCTCACGTAAACCTTGGCGTCGAAGTGTCATTCAACGATGATTTTGTCTGAAAATTGTGGTTTTGCTCAAAAATTTGGGCACCATTTCTGACGTTTTTTTCTGTTCATGTCCCAAATTTAGGATTTTTGGCATTGACTCACGCTTTCAATTTTTATCGACCAAAGTTATTCCATTTTTGCTGGCTGATAAACATAAAGCTGGATCAATTTTTCTAAGCTCTTGAGGCGTCGCAAAAGGAATTTTTTTGCAATCATTTAAATAATTTTTGTCTGTTTTGATAGTTTTTTTTTGGCCGATCAAGTTTTTTGGTTCTATCATTGTGTCCATTTTCCAACTTGCGGCATTTCTCCAAAAACCCCAAGCTTTAAAATCAGGAATCTTAGATTTTTTTGATATTTCAAATGAAAACATAGCTTTTAAATGAAAATTCTAGCACTTGGAATTTTTTGCGCAGCAAAAGTAAACCCTTAAAAAATGTAGCAAAGCTTAAACCCATAAAAAATGTAGCAAATGTGGCAGGAGTCTTTTCAAAAACCGTCAAATTTGAAAATGAGAATTTTTAAAATCTTAATAACACCTTGTTCAACTTTATTTTCATGCCTTTAGTCCGCATAATTTGAATCAGCACCGCAGTAGGTTTCAAATGACAGTGTCAATTATTAAAAACTATTATTTGAAAATTTAAAGCGTCGTGGCACAGAGGTAGAATATGTGTCTGCTCTGCTGATGATTGAGAGATTGACCCCGGTAGGTCCCTGTTTGTGCTCATTATAGCTAATTTTCAATGTGAATTCAACCCGGGATCTTTATTGCTTTTCGTGGGGACTTTTGGTTACTGGGTTACTTTATGCTCCATTACTGACTGATTGTTATAGATTCTTCACACCTGCTTCCAAGTGTATGTGGTACCTTCGCGTTTTACAACCCAACCAAAAAAATAGAATTAAAGCATCAACTATTGATTTTACAAGTAGTACAAATAGCACATATGTGTTTCTTTTTAGACACGTACCAGTATACCAAACTTTAAACCAAACAAAGTTTCAAATTCAATTTATTGATTTCAGTTGGTTAAAAACGCAGGTGACAGCAACCTTAAAACAGCCTTAAACACTTTCTTCGGAACATATCTTGTAGGATCTGTAATTCAATTTACGAGATTAGCGAATTTACTAAATGGCTATAAGGCTAGTCAACTTTTTTTGTAATTGGTGATTTTGGACATGAAGATTGACATTTGCATACGTTGAACACAAAGTATTGTAAGAAAACAAAAAAAACGTTGAAAAAAGACCAGTTTTTAGCTAGCAAAAATATCAACGCCAAAAGTTTTTGGGTTCCTTATTTGAAATTCCAAAAGGCACCGTGAAGCAATATTATCCATCTGCTTGAAGTACAATATGACAGATGTCTAATTGATGTTTCATTAATGTCCAGTCTATCAAATTTTTGTAATAGTTTATGAAAGTAGACTGCATATAGTTGAAAAAAAAAATAATGCACGTAGGAAGGCCGGTACATCCCTTATATGTGTCAAAACAATACAACAATGATGACACATTTCTGGATTGTAATGCAATGTAAATCCGGGTTGCCTCAAAAGAAAAAAAAACTAATTTTACTTTTATTTAATTGGTGTTTGAAAGTTGGAAAATATAAAAATATGACAAACGAATGAATATGGTGTTTTATTTGAATTAGCGATTATTGTTTGTTTGATTATGAAATTACGTAGTTCAAGTTATGTATTCGAAAACAATCGAAAAATTATAGATTATTATTTTAATTTCAATAACAATAACTATTCGGAACTTTTATTGCTACTTTTTGAGTCTACTTCCATTTTTTCACAAATATATTTTGCACTACGTAATTTCATAATATAACAATAAACGTAATTGCAAAAAGAACCTAGCATATTCAATCGATTGTAATAATTTTATCTCCCAACTCTCAAACACTAAATAAAATAGTGTGAAAGATATGTTCTCTTCCTGTTGAGGCAACCGGGATTGACTTTTCATAGCACTCCAGAAACGTGTCATTTTTATTTTGACACAGCGTTTTGACACATATAAAGGATGTACCACAAAAAACGAATTTTGATGGAGGGGGCGCCGCAATATACTTATTTTGAGGGGGGAGCGCGCGCCAAAAAACGCGGTCAAAATTTGGTCAAAATTTTCCGAAAAGTGCATAAAAACGCCTTTTTCAACATGTTTTTTCAAACTATTGCCTGTGGCGCAGAAATTGCAGCCAAAACAAGCTCTTTTTAGTAATTTCGGAGAGCTCAAAAAATCAATCTGGTCGACCTAAAACTTTGAAAATCAGACCCCCCACCTCGAGAGAAATCCTAGATCCGCCCCTGGTTTCATCAATGTTTTTGTAATACTTTGAAAGTCGAATAAAAACAAAAACGTTGATAGAATATTGATGAAACATCAGTTAGACATCTACTATTTTGTACTTCAAACAGATCGATGATTTTGCTTCACGGTGCTTTTTAGAAATTCACAAACAGAATTCAAAAAGTTTCGGCGTTGATATTTTTACGCTGAACGGATTTCTGATTTTCTTTCTTAAACTAGCTAAAACACTAGTTTTTTTTTTCAATGTTTTGCCTTTTTCAAAACTATGTGTTCGATGTGTGCGAATATCAATTTATGTCCAAAAAGGCAAATTACAAAATAACTGACTAGCTTTATAGCCATTTGTGGCCCAGAACTAATCTTGTAAATTCAATTACAAACCTTACTTTTTTGTTCCCAATCAAACTGTCTGGGCTATAAAAAAGGGCTTTTTCCTTTTCCCTCCACCTCACTCAAAAATTTTATGGTCTAACGAGTGGTTTTACAAGGTCACTTATGAGGACCAAATATGTTTGTCATAACCTAATTAGCCTGCATGTCAATTTTCATGACAATCGGACCAAGTTAACACGCTCGCATACTAAATCCCCCAGGATAAAATCCCACCGGATATAATCCCCCAGGACTAAATCCCCCATAGGACCAAATCCCCCTAGGACTAAATCCCCCATATTTTATTCACTATAATGGAAATCAAACTGTACACATTATATAATTTCATGTTTCTATTGATTCCATTTTGAACTGACTTCCATTTATACATGCATCGACTTTTTAGCAACTTTAAGATTCCAGCATTCAGTTGACTTCCTATAAGAATGAGCTTCGATTGCAAAAAATAATAAGCCACGTGGCACAGTCAGTACGATAATGTCAAACATCTTTCTGTACAGTTGTATTGGTATTTCTAGTTTGGAGCGAAGTGGATCCATTTCGAGCGCTGATACGTCTTTCCTGAACATTGGGACTCGCATAACGCCAAATTGCAAGTTGTCGTGGAACATCATGAGAGATCTCTTTGGCTATTTTTAAGAAGATAATAGAATATTAGAATTTATTTTTTATATTTTGATTAGGAAAATTAAAATATTGCACAAAAAATAAACTTTATTGGTCTCAACGAGGCCTTGAGTAAACAGAAAATTTTAGAGCAAGAAGTGTTAACAAAATCACTTCGCATTTTTTCCTGTATTTCAAAATGAACAAAAACATGTTAAAGTAAATTTTTGTTTTACCTAATATATCAAATACTCCAAATCTTTTAATATAAACTCATTATAAATTAACTATTCAGTCTCTATTTCTAGACATTAATGCCGGATAGTAAAATTATGTTCGGTTCTATCAAGTTCATCACATAGGTCTACATCTATGAACTGCTCCATTTCTTGATTTCTACGTGCTATTTTCGGAATAAACACTTCACCCATTTCACTCTCAACCGCATGTGACTGATAATTATGTTGACGTTGTGAGCCGATTGTTTCCTCTATTGCATCAAGGTCAATGACTTCTGTTTCCTGCATAATTTCACCGATTAAGTGATCATCTCGATGCGTTTCAAGAACAACTGTTGGAACGAGTTCTGAGTCGTTCAGAAGCGCTAACTCATTAACGCTCGCTGTTCTTTCAACTGGCGTTTCAGTCTCAATGATCGATACGATTAGAGATGATTTCTCTTTCAAAGTCTTGAGCCCTAATTTGTTTTCGGGTGTCTGTCGACCTTTCTCTTGCAATTTAGATGTTATTGAAGAGGGATTCGATTGCTCTTTGCCTTTCAATGTGGAGATTAAAGACGAGGAATGATATGAACTAGTCAAATTGCCACGGTTGCTTTTCGGAGTCGTTCCGAAACCTGGGTCGAAGCCAAGTTGAACTCCTTTTCCACTTTTCTTCGGCGGTGTTTGAGGTACTCTTGAATTATGTATCTCGGTTCGAGAAGGACTCTTTGAAACAAGGGGACTCGCTGGTGCTTCTGAAAACAAAAAAGGATAGCGGTTTACTGTGCCAGTAGCACAGAATGTTCCGACCATTGTGTTTAAATATCCAATATTTAAAAATCAATTTTGTTTTTTTTCTGCTGGTTTAGATAAAAAGCTCTGAACGAAAAAAGAGAACTTAGGCATATTCGACAAACATAGTAAAAACAAGCCAATTAAAAAAGTTTTTTTTTTAAAAAATAACTAAAAACGAAAAAAAAAACACTGTAAAATTTTTTCGAGTTCTTGATTACCAAAAATGGCGCTAAAAACAACAAAAACTTACTTTACTCGGGTATAACTAAGTTTTCACGGCTTAAATTAAGCACAAAATAGCTATTGTAATTTGCACGCTATTGCACGCCCACTTTCAAATTGTTGAATTTCCTTTGAATCAAGACTGAAAGGGCTTCAATATGATAGATCACTCGACCCATTCCGATTATTATTTATGGCACCTGATTTTGCGTGGAAAAAAATTTAAAAAACCAAAACATACTCGAATACCAAGTTCCTCGTTCCGAGCGACAATAAACTTCCAGCAAACACGATTGATGAAAAAAGAAGAAATAGTATTTTTATGTTACATTTTGTCTTACCCGAATCTAATATCGTTCCATTGTCTTCCTGTGCTATCGTATTTTCTGATTCCGTTAACTTTGTTTCGTCCTTTCGAACCTCCAAATCATCTTTTTGTTCTTCAAGAGCTTCTATTCCACTTTCGCCCAGTCCATCTTCCCGCTCTGATTCCGCTGACAACTTCGTGTTATCTTGTAATTCAAGTCCATTTTTTTCCTCCTCAGGAAGAGTTCCTATTCCACTTTCAAACGATTCGAATGATCCTTCTCCTTCCGTGATGTCGGCAGGAACTTCAGCTACCATTTCATTTTCGCCTTCGGTCTCAAGTGCACTTCCATTAGGATCATCAGGTGACTCACTCACTAAGCCTGCAATCATGTTCACACCGTCGAAATAGAACGCATATGGCAATTTTTCCGGAATCACTATCAGACCAATCTCTCCATTCTCTGGAATTGGCGGCGGAGAAGGAACTCGGCCTAGTGAGAAGTCGACTTGTTCGTTGCCGCCTGAATTACCGTTACTGCCATCTGAAGGTGCTTCATTATACATTGTCAATTCTTTAGAAGCATTTTCAGTTTCTATGTCACCAAGCATTTCTCCAACTTCAGTCACCACCGATGATTTAGTTCCACCTTCGATGCCTGTGTCAGTTTCATCACAGAAACCATCGTCACTCAAATCTTTGCCATCGGCACTGATAGATATTTGAGATAACTGAGGTGGAAACGGAAGATCGTTTACAGAGTTAACCGTTTGACAATGTTGCCGGTGGTCTGAATTAGCCGAAACTGTCGCGGCAAAATTATTTCTTTCAACCCCTGATACTTCTGCAGCCCATTCTGCTACATTCAGCCCATTGGCAGCTTCTGCTGTTATCACATCTTGATCATCATGAGAAACAACGGATTCCTGACTACTAGCTACACATGGGTCCAACAAATCGTTAAAATTAGATTGTCGAGTAACTGTTTCTGTCCTAAATTGTACATAATCACCAACTAGCTGATGACGATGTTCTAGTGGGGCTAAATTAGTGGAACTGGCGATAGATTCTTTTACATTAACTACTGGAATGCTTTGTCTGTGATCATTTACGGAACCATCGCACGGCTCGAGGGTGGTTTCCTTTTCCACTGAAGTTTTTAGTTTCACTTCAGATCTATCGAAGCTGGTATCCTCGATGAAGCTTTCGTTGAATTCATTTGCAAGTTTACTAATTTCTCCGTCACTGAACTCAATTTCAAGCATATCTGCAAGTTCTTCGGGAAGCTTAGAAGATTCCATCAACTTTTTGGTCCAAGGCGAGTTAACAAGAGGTGACTGCTTAAAGAGGAGTTTTGAGGGTACTTTCAACGGAGTTTTGCAAGGCGATTCATTCTGCTCATGTGAAGTCTTATCTGGTAATGAAGGGTTTTTGTATTGAATGTTACCTGAACTTGATCCTTCTTTTACCGGGGATTGACGATTATCAATACCATTTTCAAGTGAAATTGTAGGATACAGGTTACACGCATTTACACTACTGGATGACTTTTCAGTTCCAATATCCATTGCCGATTGATTAGAAATTTCACTTTCCGTAGACAATTCTTTAGTCTCTTCCTTTTTAGCTTTTTTTGAAAATTTCCGAAAACCTTTTGCCTTCATCTTTTTCACTCTGCCCTCAGTTGAGGGTTCATTGAAGTGCTTAATAATTTCACCGGTTTCATTTTCACAACCATTCATCGACTCGGTAAATAATTCATCCGCGGATTTCAAGTACTGTTCAAGAGAATTTGGTTCTGTTAAGGCCTTATGGAGAACTCTGTCTATGGATACGAGAACACTCTAAAACAAACCAAATGCAGGCAATTAACCTGGACCACGAAACCTGTCAAAGAAAGGCTAGCTAAGTGTTTGTAATCCTAGAAGGAATGATGCTTCTATATTTTATTTTAACCTTTTACTGAAACCTACCAAACAGAATCTTGATGTCAAATGTTCGTCTTGAATTAATACATATTATAAATATCTAGTATGTGCATGTTTTTTTTTGTAATTATTCGCTGGTTAACGACAACAAATATATGTAGTATAATACTCAAAACGGTCTCCCAATTTTTTACACAGAATCGAAGTTGCACTTCGCATACACAAGCAAAAATATGACCGATAACGCTACTGGGAAAAACTGAATAAAGAAACTATAAATTTTTTTAAGTGACGCACGCCAATTATGAGTCTACATAATTGCTAAGTGACGCAAGCCTGTTATTACGCATTAGCAGTCAAATTGAAAAAAAAATTACCAACTAACATGCCTCAATTTGTAGAGCGGACGCATTTTAACCAGTATACGAAAAAGTTCATTAAAACGACCCTGCACAGGTTAGAACCCTCTTATTTTGTTGCGGGTCTGCTTCCCTACGTCTACGCTACAGATCCATGATACCTTGAAGCTAAAGTGCTATTTATAATATAATAGTCTGTGTGGTGTTTATTGATCAAAACGAACTGGTTATTGATCAAAATAAACACATTCAAAATGAACACATTTTGTCGCAAAATAATTTGCGTCGCAACAGATTTTGCGACTTAGGTTGGAAAAAAAGAGAGTTCATACTATCACACAAGCTTCGCTTGTGTAAATACGACAAAGAAAATACAGTAAAGAGAAATGGAGTAGAAAAGGCAAAACATAGCCAACAGTCAATTGGAAAAGTTTCCATTAACTCAAGGAGACAGCAAAAAGGATTGGACTTTTCGAAAATGTTTTCAAATTTCGAGTTTCACAACAAAAACAGCAAACAGACATATGGAAAAGAGTCAATGAACGCAAAGAAACAAAAAAATGACTTCCTTTTTTTTAAAAAAAATCAACTTTTGAAATTCAAACAAAAAATATATGGCCTTAAAGCTCTTTGAACTTCAATCACAATTTGTCATTGGCACTTCGAGCTAAAACTTGGGAAAATTAATTTATTATGAAAAGTTTCCATTCCTCTGGAAAACCTAAAATTAAATTCCACTTTCAAAACCAGATATCGATCAAGTATTTTCGTGCCATTTCAGCTTTTATAATTGGAGAGTGCATTTTGCCTGTTTTCTAGCAAATGAACTTGAATTTTTAAAAAATGCAAATATACCTAGGGGCATTCATCTTTGCATTTATAAGTATGAACACACTACTTTTGCTATTCGGTTATCCATAATAAGAGTCTGAACGACCATAATAACAGTCTGAACTACGTTAATCGACATTATTAAATCAGCTCGAAGCTTTTTGAATTTCCTGAATCTTTTATGATCGACAATTTTTTTAACACAGGGGCAAAGCGGAGCTTCGCACCACTTGCGAATCGCAAGTGATGCGAAGCTCCGCTTCGCATCTGTGTTAAAAAAAATTGTTACCTCTAGTTTAAGCGAGATAAACAAAACTTTTTGATTCATCTAATTTTTGCACATTTTTCATTTTTTTTCCTAACCTACGAAGTGAAAAAAATAAGAAGTCATAAAAATGTGCAAAAATAAAGTCAAAAAAATGTGCAAAATGTGCAAAAGCAAAATGTGCAAAAATTAGATGAATCAAAAAGTTTCGTTTATCTCGCTTAAACTAGAGGCAACTTTGATATTTTTGGAATTTGTGATACTGATGCGGAACAAAATGGGTAATTTCAAAAATGAGACTTTGCTGCCCACAACCTTAGTTGTTTCTCTACTAAAACAATTGAGAAGACTGAGAGTTTATGAGAAACAGGAATCTTCCCTTTGATACGACATTTTTTCTTAGAAAGAAGTGGAGTCGCCGCTTCTGTAGGAAAAAGTATCACAAGCATTTCTTTCGATTGAACCCTCTATATCTGATTTCATAGGGAGCTTCTAAGAAAAATTCTAGAAAAGTCTAACGTTCAAAATTTTGACTTTTCTGCAAAAGAAGGACGTGGCGACTTAAGCAGAGAAAATTTCCAAAAGCGGGTTTATCGATTGAACATAAAAATTAGCTAGGTAGTTTTCGAGAAAAATCAAAAAGTTTCAAAAAACAAACAATATACTTTTCGAGTGCCTGGGCACAGTTTAAAAAACTGGGCATTGTCAAAAATTTAAGGCACCTTACCACAACCCATTGATTCGATTGATCTCAAAATTTCAGACTTGAGAAGGTAGTTTTCAAAAACATTCGGTCAAAAAAGCAAAAATTGGACTTGTCCGAGGGCTACAACTTGTTGTATAAAAAAATTGGGCGTAGCTGCATTTGACTTAAAACTTTCAACAAACGGCTCCATCCAATGAGCCCAAAAACCTCATAAATAGGAAAGTACTTTTTGAGAAAATGAGAAAAAGTTCAAAAATTTGGGTCAAATATTCCCCCTAAAGACTTTTTCGAAGGCTGTACAGATTAAGAAAAAAATATTAGAAGATTATGCAGGCACATAGATGAGTATAAGTTCTTTTCATACCACTTGTTGACACCGAAGCGAAACTTCGCTTCAAAACACTAGCGAGAACACGACAAAAAGCAGCTTTATGAAGCACAATAGGAAAAAGTATAAATAAGCCTCGAATTAGCATAAATTCGGCTACGTCTGAGATTCGAACCTGCTACCTAGAAATTACGAGTCACACTCACTTACCGCTCAGCCACGGAAGCTTCTTGGTAGATAGAAGATTAAACATTAGCCACAAACAAAGCAGAGAACATATGCTATGCAATTTCCAATCCTTCAGAGTGAAATTTCCAAATAAGCGAACACTTTTAATGAACACTTTTATTTGCGAGTTAGAGTAAAAAAAAGAAGGTTCGTAATAACACACTAAGCTGACGCTAGTGTAAAATCGAAACAGTAGTTTTCTACCAATTTAACAAATTGGCAAAAATTGAAAAAAAAGTCGAACGCGTCTCAAAAAATAAAAAAAAAACCCAATTCTATAAATTTTCATAATACCTGATTTTGTCGAAGAAATTTCCCCCCTTCGAAACTACGCAATATAAGTTGTCTGAGTCAATATAATCTAATCCGAAACCGTTCAATCGAAAAACTTCATAATCCAAATCAGACTTAGTAAATGACAAACTACAGGGCCACAACTTGTTCTATAAAAAAATTAGGCGTAGCTGCATTTGACTAAAAATTTTTGACAAACCGATCTATCCAATGAGCCCAAAAACCTCATAAATGGGAGAGTAGTTTTTTAGAAAACGAGAAAAAATTTAAAAACTATGGGTCAAATAATCCCACTGGAGGTCCTGTTGAGACTCAATTTTTAAATTAATTCTTTTTTGAAAACATTTTTCAAATTTCGAAAAAAAAATACTTCACGTTACAGCTCGTTGAATTTCAAGAAACATTTATGATCGACGCTTCCGATAATCAGAACAATTATTTGTAGGTTTCTAGTTCTCTGGATGGGTATAATGAGAAAGAACAATGAATTTAGTGTAACACTTAATAATCTCTAGCGTAAAAAGTATTTCACTCAATTAAAAAAAAATTCGTCGCATAATTCATGCTATAGTTTTGTATTATTATCGATCACTACTACTAAGTTTCAACTTACGGCAGTGAATCCAACGTAGTCTTCTATCTGGTCATCTTTTGGACTGCCAGAACTGGTGGTAGGATTGTTTTTTTCATTACATTGTGAGGCGGCTGTTTGTGTGTAAGTAACAATTGGACCAACTTCCGTAGTTTCCTGAGTTGATTGCCTAGATTTGACTGCATTCAAACGCTCGTCGAGTTTTTCCTTTTCGCTCTGAAAAAAATCGATCAAAAGAGATTTTGGGAGACTTCTTGGTAATTATTTTTTTAGAGTCATGCACTACACAAACCTGCTTCACAATACCACTTGAACCAGTTTCATCAATGATCAGCGCATCTTCGCCGCTTTCTCTGAGACAATTTTGATAAACTTTGGATACTTCAGCTAGCAATCTTTGATTTTGCTGTCTACTTTCCTCATTCAAATTAACTCGGCGCTGCACTTCGTCAGAATCCATTGACTCTTGCACACTCTCGACAACAGTAGTAGATTTTAACACGCTATGTGCTTCAGATTCGCTAGCTCTTTTTCTTCTTTCTATACCCGAATTAGGGTTTTTCATCGCGCTGTCAAACATATCAGTGTCGGTCGCTACTTGGCGCAGATCTGGAGGTCCGGGTGAGCTATTTGCCGAGGTTCTGGAACTTCCAGGCGCAGAAAACTGAGACGAAGAACCCATGGATGATGATGATGATTCTGATGTCATAGAGTTTTCGTTGTGAATAGCCACTTGCGGGAACTGAAGGCTTATTGCAATTGACTTGAACCCATTTCCAAATGAGGGGTCGTTTACATTATTGGGGGAATTTAAGGCTTTAGCAAGTTTAAGGTTAGATCGTGGATCAAGATCCGCAACGTCGTACTCGTTGCCTGTGCCATCTAGAATTGTTGGATCCATCTGAAACAAATAACTATATTTGACAGGTTTCAATCAAGAACCTCAACGCGATAAACCTCCAGTAAGAGCTTTGAACTTTTAGTCATTTTGTTCTAGCAATTTTTTTCCCACAACTACAGAGCAAATGATGTGTAATTCTTTTTGCTGTGGAGTTTCAGTACTTGCCTCTAAGAGATATTCGGTTGCACTTTTAATACCCTGGTACCGCTCAATGGCGGCTTGTATTGATAGGTTTATAGTCTCCATTGAGCTCTCTCCCGTCGTTACGGGCCTTCCCGGTCCCCGTTTTGAGGATGTGTCCTTATCCGCCGATTTTCTACTGCCTCGTGGTTTTTTAGACTGCGGAATGAAGTTGGAGTCTGCAACTGCCTGCATAGTACCAGAGACGTTCTGGTCCCCCTCACCATTAGTCTTACGTTTCCGCTGATTTTTATGTTTCAGAGACGACGATGAAGACTGCGAAGTATCATCTTGTTGACCATCAATTGAAATGCAATCTAAACATAAATCCATTTGATTATGGCTGACAAGTTCTGTGGTTAAGAACTCTTGCGCCGACAAAACTAAAAAATTTTGCAAAAGTTTGTTTCCACTGCACCTATCGTAAAATCATTGAGCTTCAATTGGAGTAAAAAAAAAAAAATCTACGCGTATAAACTTTCAAACATTTGAGCTTATAACAAAACTGCGTTCTAAGAACGGCAAAACAAATCAGACGAACCTTCATTTTCTGGATCACCGCCATCTTTATTCTCAGTTTTTCTCTTCTTTGATTTCTTGGAAGATGTTTTCTTGCCCGCTTCTTTCTTCAGAAGCTCCTGTCGTTCTTCCTCTTCCTGTTCAAAATCTCTTTCCAAAAACCACTCGTTAAAATGACCCTTTTCATTCCTCCTCATAGCTTCGAACTGCAACTTCAACTTGCGTTTTTCGTATAATTTCCTTGACATGTTGCGCAACTCGGCTTTGTATCGACTGATGTGCAGTTGTCTGTCATAGCGGAGCGGTCGGCTAAGTAGTTTGTCGGCCCATTGAGGTTCTTGTATGTCTATCCTGTGGAATTTTAGCCTCAGTTCTTTGTGACTCCGGTCAGGGATGAGTGTCATCAACATCAGGAAGTCAACACCAACCATTTGGATGCCCATGTACAGTCTTTTAAGCTCTAAGAAACATAAACAATAGCTAGTTGAAAAAACGTCAACGACTTTCAATGAGACCTAGAAACAGGGCTCACTTTTTTGTTGAAACAATTCGGTTTTAAGCAAAAAAAAAGCTTTTTTGTTGAAAAAAAACTCCATCCCATGGCTCAAATAAAAATTCTTCTATTATAAATATTACCTGCAAACTCGAAATTAGGCTCAACAGTGAGAAATTTATTTAATTCTTTTTTAAGTGATATGATAATTTTGTGGTACCTCTGATAATTTTGTGGTACCTCTGCTTGGTTAAATAACCAGAAGACACCCCAAGACAAGGCGTTCCTCTCCACTTTTAGCGGTCGGAACATTCAACACGCCTTTATAAATGCTTCACAGCGTTGATTGACATTTTTTATGAACACATTTGAAAAAATAACTTCTCTGGGAAAATTTTCAAGGCTCTTCGAAAATCAAGAATCTTTTAATATTGACACTTTGTAATAAAATTAATTGAGTTTCGAGAAAACTGGATACATAGCTAATCGTTAATTGACACAACACGACGTGAAAAAAAACAAAAAAAAATCAACGTATGTGTAAATGTCTTCGCTAAGTTCATTGACACGCAAAAACGAAATTAAGATCCCCAAACGTCCAAAGCAAATTTGGACAAAACAATCAAGATTTTTATTAAACCTTTCCCTTGTTAGGTTTTTTCACCTGTTTGATCAATTTAAATAAACTGTTCGGTCAAAAGATCATCTTTAAACACAGTTACCTTCTTCAGTCCAAAACATGTTACATCCGATGCTATTTCTGTGATGGAAGCGAGAAAGGGTCTTCTGGTAGGTGCCGATGGGCATACTGCTTCCCTGTGTCACCACTCCATTATTCAGCATCAACTCACTCGTCTGCTCAATCACCAGACTAAACAGCAGCTAAAAACTTAGGCCTTTCCCTTCTGTCATCAAATTTGAAAGTATAAATCTGCTTGGTTGAAAATGAAAAAACATAGCCAAAAAACAGTTTGAAAACAGTCAATGAACGCAAGTAAACAAAAAATACTCATTTTTCTAGAACAATTTTTTTGAAACTTTTTTAAATCAAATTTAAACCAATTTAAACCAACTTTTTTAAATCAAATTTAAACCAATTCTTTTAACAACTGAACTGAACTTAAGAAAGAAAACAACAGTCAAACTGGAAAAAAAGTAATTTTGAGCCTGAGTAAATTTTCTGAAAGAAAAATGGAAATCATCGCGGAAGAAACTGCGCTGCATTTTTCGACTCGAAAAAACGTAAATCCTTGCTGCGAAATTTTTTTGTAAGGTATCCCAAAAGTAAAGCCTCAGAATTTCACTCAAGCTCTAAATTTCTGATCTTACATTTTTAACACACAGACAAAGCAGAGCTTTGCACACTTGAGATATAAAACTGAATGACTATCACTACTTGCAGGTGAACCGAAAAATAAAAAATTCTTGTTTATTCAAAATGCAATCCAAAAACGAAATCTTGGAACTCAATCACCTGCACCTTTAAAATATTACCAATCAAAATCGAAAAACGCAAGGAAGATAAAACATAGCAAACAGACGGTTGGAAAAGAGTCAATGAATGCAAGTAAGAAAATACATACTTGTTTTAAGAAAGAATCTGAACTTTCGCATTTCAATGTAAAAATATATGGCAAAAAAGGTCCTCGACTTCCAGATCAATTTGACTCTTTTTTTGAGAAAAACTACCCAATTGAAAAAAAACTGGATCAAACCAAAAATTAACACAGAGGCGAAGCTGCGCTTCGCAAACACTTGCGAGAACACGACCGAAAAGCAGATCTATCTAAAAGTGAAATAAGAAAAAATAGAAATAAGCCTCGTATTAGCAAAAACTCGGCTACGTGTAGGATTCGAATCTACGACCAACTGCAATCAAGAAATTTTGAGTCACACGAACTATCAACAACCACAAGCTTAACAACCGACAAACACAAGTCACGAATAAAGCAGCATATAAACATATACTAATAATAAATTGCCAATCAATTCCTCAAAAGTGGCACCAAATACAAATAGATTCAAATTTGTAAAAAAAATATAACAAACTGAAGGCATCCACACTGTCTTTGCAAGTAACAAATGGCAAAGCATAAAGGCACATTATGTATAAATTATGCATTTCAAAAAATTGCGAGATATGTTAATTTAGAAAACTTCTGAAATCGAGTTTTAATTATTATTATGTTGTTTGAAACAAATCATTTTTTTTCGGTTCATTTGATCAAATAAAAATGCATCAATTGTAGACTTATTACTATTCGAATATTCAAGCACAAGCTATGAAAAAGTTGTAAAGGTGCTTCAAAAGTGGCACCAATATTTGCGACTTAGGTTGGAAAAAAACGAAGGTTGGTATAAATACACTCGCTTTGCAAGTGCAAATACCACTATAGAAACTAGAAGTCAATCACATTTTTGCTGTTCGATAGTGCGGTTTGACTTCCCTTCAAATAACAAAATGAACTGAACTTTAAACACAGAGGCGAAGCAAAAAAGATCTCTAAACAAGCAAACCAAAGTGAAATAAGGAAAAGGTTGAAAAACACTGTGAGATACTTTTTTGCAAGGCTTGGGTGTAACACGTTCTCACATCTGCTTCATGACTGCTAGAAATTTTACTAACACTAGCCACCAATAAAGCAGCTGCAGTTTCTATCAAATTGTCAATGCGATGCAGGAAAAATTCGACCAAAAAACTGTAACTATTTCAATGTTTTGGATTTGGATCTCCTACTGGTTGATTAGGATTTTCACTTCCTCGCAATTCCGCCACGGACGTTTGGAAGAAAAACTAGTTGCCCAGCTTATGCTAGATTCACATGTTTTGATATTTTGATCATATTTTGTACTGATACCGCAATCCGAAAGATTCAAAAATGGACATAACGCAAAACCCTAGTGATTTTTGTGCTTAACCAGAGGATAAGCTGCAAATTTAAAGAAAAAAACTAATCGATCTTTCAACTGATTTCTTTATCTCAGATTTGGCTGGATAGTTTTCGAAAAAAAAAATGAAAAAGATTCCAAAAAACGATCAAAAATTGAAAAAGTTGGCTTTTCCTAAATTCACAAAATTTTCTCTATTAAAGCATGGGGATAGTCTTGTATGCAGGGAAGATCTCCACACCCTGATTTTTAGATTGAATCCTTAATATCGGCTTACGCTAGTAGCTTTCGAGAACAGTGATGAAATTTCTTTAAAAAAATCTTCAAAAAATGGATTTTTCCGATGTCCATATCGGCTTTTCTACAAAACAAATAAAGCGAAACAGATAACACAGGAGAAATCTAAGCACGATGTTAGTTTAAATGATATATCAACCTCAGAATCAGCAGGTTAACTTTTGAAGAAAAAAATAAGTTTCCAAAAAACGGGCACAGTACTAAGGCCATTTTTTTCAAAACGCAGGGCATAGCCGCTTGCGCAGGGAAGATTCGCAAACCACAATTTTTCTTCCGGTTGAGCTCTTATTCTCCGATTTGTCTGGGTAGTTTTTGAGAAAAGTAAAAAAAAACATTAAAAATTAACCAAAAGCCGTAGAACGTGGTGTAAACTGAAAAGAGACAAGCAAAATATGCAGGCACATAAAATACCAGCCAGTTTTTCCAATGACACCAGAGTTGTGAAAAATGCTTCAGGAGTTTTTGAGAAGAAACGAAATTTTTGCGAAAGTTCAAAAAATTTCCAAAGGGTCGCAAAAATAAAACAAAAAATTAACAAATCCCATACATTTTCACATCTGTTGTTTTCATACAGGAACTAACACTAGCCAAAAAAACCAGCACTATATGCTATTAAATTACCTATATTTGAATACGCTTAAATATGATGAAATTGAAATATACCAAAAGTGCCACTAATGAGCACTTTTATTTGCGACTTAGGTTGAAAAAAAAGAGTTCGTAATAGTATACTTCACTTCGCTTGAGTAAATAAACCAAAAATCAAGCCACTAAAAAGAAAACTTAAGCCTGAGCAAAACTTAAGACTTTTTGTTAAATATAAGAGTCTGAACTACATTAATAAAATGTTCAAAATTGAATCTTAAAAAAGCATCAAAACAAAACCTGAAAAAGGTAAAAAAGTAGACTATTCTTGAGTAGACACCACGTTGGGCCGAAAAACAAATCACTTAAAAAACATCCGAAATACAGTTGCAAAAAAATCATTGAACGCAAGAAACCAGAAAAATATACAAACTTGTTTCGGACAAAAATTGTTGTTTCGAATTTCAAAGACTTTTTTGCTAAAATTCACTGAAATTAAAAAAAAAACTGGATAGATAGGTAAATTCTGAATTTCGCTAGGAAACCTGACGATTAAATCCACTTTCGAAACTAGAATTCAATTAGGTTTCTCGTGACTTTTACACTGTCAAACCGCGAAAAATTAAATTTGAGCCTGAATAAATTATGAGACTTTTCTTGAAACGAACTTACGAAACAAACTTAAACGCAAAAAAAAAAACGATTTAAAAAATCAAAAAAATGTTGACAGTTTTTCATGTTTATTTTGTCAATTTTATTACGGAGGGCTTAAGAGGTTCAGTTCGAATTTTTTGTTCGCACTATAATACACTAGGCTGCCCGATAGTGTAAATACTTACCTATTAACTATTAAGTGCAACTATTAACGTTCACCTGCAACTCTTAACGTCGAAGAGTACATATTTACTCCAACGATTTTATGTATTCAGCGGTTATAGAATTTACTATTTGACCATTCCGTGAACGAAATTATTTACGGGAAAAAAGTTATGGCAAGGGTAATAATAGCAATTTAAGTGATAATTCAAGCATACGCGTGAGTTAGAATGTAAAAGCTGTTGAAAAAATCGGACAATTTTACCTCTCTTCGTCCAAAACAAATTTGCCATCTTCGCCCATTTTTAGTCGAGGCGCAAACACATTGGACGGTGTGTCATCGAACTCACTCTTGGTTCCATTCGCATAGGCATCACTGTTGTTATTCGTCTCTCCGTTAACCGAGTTCTTATCATCACTCGGTTCTGACTTTACGATTCCCGGTTCCTTCTTAGATATTTCCACAAACTCTTTCTTAATCCTGTCTAAGGTTAGCATATTGGGTGCATTCGAATCAATTCGTCGGGTATGACGCTGCGTTATTTGGGCTTTCATTAGTTCGTCCAAATCTGGTGCTTCCATCTTGCAACTGGGATCCATTTTGCGGGAGTTTTTCACAGTACAATTAATCAGTTCACCAAGTGTCAAACTTGACCTTCGTTGTTGAAGTTGTTCAAGATCAATAGAAATTGGAACCACTTTTTCCCTTTTCTTTTCCTCTGGTTTTTCAATAAGCATCGCATCTAAATTCGGGTTCTCAGGTGCCTGAATTGAGTTTCGATTTGTGACCACCTCAGGTGATTTGTTTGCTTGCTGACTTTGAGCACCCTGATAAAAAACTAATTTGTTGACATGATTTGTTGAGTCCCTACGAACTAAACCTCTAAACTAAAACTCCAAACTACAGACTAAACTTAAACTGCGTCGCTGTAAATTAATTAGAAAAACACTGAAAGGAAATCGTATCGCTCAATTGAAACAATCAGCCTACCAATGTTTCCACGATGGCAGTAAAAACACTCTTCGGTGGTTCGGCTGTGCCAACAACTTCATCTGAACACGCATCTTTCTCAATCGCAGAACTCGGAACGTCGCTAGAAACAGGAGGGGAGTTACCAAGGGAGCTAAAACAAAGAGTTTTGTGACAGCGCCAAAAACATCAAACATAGCCAACAGACAGATGGAAAAGAGTCATTGAACGCAAGTTAACAGAAAAAAATCTGAACTTTCGAATTTTAAAGAAAAAACCTAGATGATCTTAACGCTCTTTTAATTCCTAGAACAATCCATGATTGATTTGAGAAACTGGATCAATAGATAAATTTTTTATTCCACTGGAAATATGAAAATTATAAATTGCTTTTCGAAACTAGAAGTCGATCACGTTTTTCAAGACCTTTACTTTCTCCTTTTCGATAGTCGAGTTTGCCTTCCTTTTAACAAAGGAAATGAACTTAACTTAAAAGGAAATCACAAGTCAAACCGCGAAAAAGTAAATTCGAGCCTGAACAAATTTTGAAACTTCTCTTAAAAAATCATCAGCACCTATATAAGACTCGATTCTTTCGTCGAAACTTATGAAACGCACCTTTGTGATTTGACGCCAACAAGCGCACTTCCATGAGGACTGCAAATGGTTTTCTTGACTTCGCCACTACTTGCCAGTCTAGCCAAAGATGATCCTTTGGGCAAAAATCTTGATTTGGTTCGTCTTTGGAAAATATTAGTGGGCAGAACCTCGACGCTTTCCTGGGGTGAAACTGTCTGGAATGATTCATCTTTTGACTGATCTTGGCAAATGATATCAGATTTTACATCTTTAAATTGAGTTGTTTGACTCGCTTCAACGTTTTTTGTTCTCACTATAGAATCATGGTATTCTTTCGTGTCTTTGTTTCTCTCAGGAGTACCCGACTGGTTCACACTCGGAGATTTCATGACCGAAGCACCGAATATTTTGGGAGCAACTTTTAATTTACCACGTCTAAACGGCGATGACGTGGAACTGCTTTGGATATGTGATTCTATCTTTTCATTGATGCTTTCGTGAACTGTTTTATATTCACCTCCGGCACCTTTAGGTGTATGAATTTCATCCAGTTTTTCTGCAGAATCAACAGATTTAGAAACTTGAATGTTATCTTGAATCTTTTTACTCTCTTTATTTTCTAAAACTGAACCAATATTGTTGACCGAAACTCTATTTGCGTGTTTTGACTTCGATGGGGCGCTGCCAACAATTTTAGCTGTTTCTTTGTATATTTCAGAACGAGAACTTTCATCGACTTTTTTATTTCTAATTGCATCGACAGTTTCCTCAATCCCTTTATGCATAATGGTGTTACCATTCGGAACATATTCTTCTTCTGGAATTGTTGCTTTCGAAATTGCGGGGCCTATATTTATCTTGGGAGCAACCTTAGCGCGAGACCTTCGAAAACTTGATGCATTATTAGAGGCCGTACTTCCCGAACTAAATTGCACCTCTTTTGGTCCTGAAGAATCGCACTTCTCAGATACCAGTGACTTATCAATAGCTGATGAAGTCTCAAATTGAATCTTTTGACCAGGCTCAACCGATTTATTAGATACCAATTCAATAGTATCTGTGTCAATGTTGGTTTCAAACGGAACTTCACTTGGCGTAGAAACTTGGATTACGAAGTTATTAGCAACCAATTCACTCGAGGCATTATCCACAGCTGATTCCTCAAAGGGAGTTTTAGTGGTTTCACGGTGAGACAGCGTTCCATCTGTGGGGACCATCGATTCCGGCTGATCATCATTCATGGACTTTTTGGACTCTTCCTCGACAGCTTTCACAACTGACGGAACGAACAAACCTCTGGCACGTCTTTTCAGCATTTTTCCGCCTTCGTAATCAATTCGAAAAGATCGAAATTTAAGTATTTAATTATTTCACATCATGTCTGAAACAAAACAAATGAGGCAGTTTTTTTGAACTTCAAATTGCTTTATCGGCAGCGATTGTTTGATGCTTAGCAATGCATTCTGCGATAGATACATTACAAGGCTGATTTAAATTATCGGGACAAAACTCATAAAACTTGAAATTTTAAACGCGTTTTTCTCAAATTGGGTTGACTTTAGGATTAAAATGATGCTGAGAAAACTTGCTTGAAGTTTTAGCAGAATTATTGTTATGCAATTTATTTTGCAAGAATCGGGCCCAAAATTTAATTCCAAAAACGAACATTCCAAAATCGAACTTTTTATCAGTTAAAAAACACGGCAAAACTACCGGTTAAGCTTCTGAGACAATTATATCACAAAGAGCCTCTTAAAATCTAAAATATTGCGCAAAACATTTTTAAAAGATTCTAAATGAAAATGTTGTTATAGTAAATAGTAAAAATGACTAAATAGTAGAAATGACATTTTTGGCTATTAAACAATCATAGCCAACAGACAGTTGGAAAAGAGTCAATGAACGCAAGTAAACAGACAATGAACGCCTGTGACTTTTAAAAAACCTTCAAGTTTCGAACTTCCAAAAAAAGATGCCCTTAAAGCTCGTTAAATTTCTAGAGCAATTTTGATTAAGACATTTCTGATAATATGACATTAACCCAATTTGATAAAACTGAGTCATTGGTTAAATTTTTCTTTCGCATGGATAACTGATAATTAAATCCCATTTCCGAAATTAGAAGTCAATCACGCTGTTTGATGGTAGAGTTTGCCTTCCTTTTAACAGAGAAAACGAACTGATAGTAAACAAAAATCGAATGTCGCGCGAAAACAATAAATTTGAGCCTGAAAACTTTGTTACTGGAAAAAAATCATGAGCTATGACAAAAAAATAAATTTACTCAAAACATTTTTGGAGGGTAAACTTTGTTGAGCTATAAAATAGGCTCACTGAAATATTAGTGAGGCAGCGTTCGATCCGGTAGTTTAGGTTTAATTTTTGATTGACTTAAAAAAGTCAGATAGTTTTTGGGGGGTAAAAAATTGGGCCCAAAATTTGAATTAAAAAAATGCTTATTAATTCTGCTAAAACTAAACAAGTTTGTTCAGCATCATTTTCACCAGAAATCAACCTAAATGGAGACAAACGCCTTTTAAGTTTCAAGTTTCATGCTTTTAATTCCGATAATATAAATCAGCACTGTAGTTTAAATCTTTCTGCTGATACAAAAAAAGCTTTGCAATTGAAATATATTGGTGCAAAAAACAAACTTTGAGAATCTAATAATACAGAAAAAGTTTTTGAGATTCTTCACATCTTCATTTATCTGTCTAGAACAGAAAATTAAGCAGCTCTAACTTCGTTTTTTTTCCGGTAGTAGAAAAAATCTTTCTTGGGTCATAAATCGTCATACACATGTTCCTTACTTTCTCACTGTAGCGCAATGTACTAAGAAAAATTTTGGAGAGTGAACTTTGTTAAGCTATAAAATAGGCTCACTGAAGTATAAGTCGGTCAGCAATTGAACCGGTAATTTAGGTGTAGTTTTTGATTGACTAAAAAAACCAGATCGTTTGAGGTAAACATTTGGGCCCAAAATTTGCATAAAAAATTGCATATTTATTCTGATAAAATCTAAACAAGCTTGTTCAGCATCATTTTTCAACAGCAATCAACCCAATTGGAGAGAACGCCTTTTAAATTTCAAGTTTAATGCGTTTTATTCTTTTTATATACATCAGCACTGTAGTTTAAACCCTTCTGCCGATGCAAAAAAGCTTTCCAATCGAAATATATTGGTGCAATGAACAAACTATGAGAATCTAATAATACAAAAATAATTTTATGCCACTCTTAGCATTTTTATTTGCCTCTATCTAGAACAGAAAATTATGTAGCTTCAACTTCGTTTTTTTCCCGGTTGTAAGAAATTTCCCTGGGTCCAAAATCATCAGACAAATGTTCCTTCCTTTCTCAATGTAGCGCACTATGATATGAGCTATAAGCGATGATCAAGCTTCATGATGAGAAAACCCTTTCCCAGAGCCTTCTTTTTACAATTGTCCAAAGGAATCTTTTAAATCCCTGTTTAGCGTCGAACTACGAAATTCCATGAGCATTTCGCTTTCGAACATTCTGCACATCTCCGAATCGCATCGGCATTTCTAACTTCAAATTTTCATTCTCTGCGCTGTTTTTGTTCTTCTCATTCTGTCCCGAAACTTCACCTTCACAGTACATTTGGAGCACCAAAATATAGTAACAGAAAACAACCAATACAACTAACGTAGCACCTGCTACTTTGAAGAACGATTGCAATTTTGTCATATCTATGTGATCTCGATCCCAGTAATTCTCACAAGTCAGGAAGCTACACAACGAGTTATTTGCAAACTCAAAAATTTCAGATTCTAAATTCGAATCTGCCCCTATTATGCACGTTTTTAAGGCATTTACGCACTTATTTCGTTTCCTATTCATTTCGTTTCGATCGCAAAGAGCTTTTTTCCAGTAGGGAAGATCTTCAGGAGCTGAGATTACATCACATCGGAGCCAATCGCAGTTGTCGGCCAAGCAGTTGGCTGAACTGTCCGGAGCATAGGGCTCAGATGAGTGTTTGCGGAACACGTGTGCATCTAGAAATTCTTCAGCCTGGAATAATTTCCCACAGAGTAAACAGCGCCATGAATTCCCATCCTAAAACAAAGGACCATCGTTTAGAAAGAGGCGAAGCGGAGCTTCGCATTGATTGCGACACAACGCAAGCGCAGCATTTCAAGCAAGCGATTAAAAAATAAGACGTGAATAACAAAATCGAAAAAAAAATTGGAAAACAATGAACATTGCCAACTGAAAGCTGGAGAAGACTAATGAACGCAAGTAAACAGAAAAAAAACACGACTTTTTTGAAAAAATATGACTTTTTTGAAAAAATCTCTTCGAATTTCAAAAAAAAAATAGATGGCCTTTAAGCTCTTTGAATTTCCTTATGATGGGCACTTTTTTGATAACATTAACCCAACTTGAGAAAACTGTATCAACAGGGAAAGTTTTTATTCCGCTAGAAACCTAAACAATAAATTCCAATTTCGAAACTAGAAATCGTTCACGTTTTTATCGCGCCATTTTGGCGTTCGTATTCGGGGAGTGCTATTGACGTAAACTTCAAGAGATGAATTTCAATTGAACTCAAAAAATACATATATACATAAGTGCACTCATAAAGGCATGAATGCACATCTGTAGTTATTAGAGCATTCCTGAATTAAAAAAATCGCATTTATAAGAGTCTTCGCTACGTTCATTACTCTTAAAAAACAAATTTCAGAAAAAAAACATTCATAAAACACAACCACCAGTACATAATAAGCTTCTAGTATTAACCGATCGGCCACTAAGCCGACAACAAGTGGTCAGACGCCCATTGAGCCGAAAACAAAAAAAGCACGACAGGAAATTGTTGTCATAAGCGATAGAGTTTTAAAACTTTGGGATCTTGCAACACAAACCACCTAAACATTTCAAAAAAATCTATCGTTTTTTGCCTTAGAAATGCCACAAAATAAAAGGTTGAAGCAGATAAAACATGAGCCAAAACAATTTAGGCCGAATAAAATTTTTCAGCGAAAAAAATAACAGGAGTAAATCAAAAACACTCCATTTAAAACTTATACGAGTTAATCAAATTATTTGCATCTACGATGACAATTGCTGACAGAACAAAAAATCCCCGGTGTGGTAAAAAAAAACGGGAAAAGTCTAGTTCCGGATTAGAAAACACTTGCTCTCGCAAGTGTAACAATAAATATCCAATCCGTTAAACACGTCGAAGATTAAAACAAACAAGAACAGCCACCTCATAAAGCAGAAGTACAGTGTTTCGAAAATTATAGCAAACAGCATTTTTCAAAGCATTTGCCTCATTTGAAAGGGTGGAGGACTCACATTGACCGCCAGGAATTTATAATTATTAGCTTATATAAGTTTTTAAAAAGAATTTCAAGGCTTAAAACAACTTCACGGCGTTAATCAATTCATACTATAACATACCTGCTAGACGCTGCCAATCACCAATCAGTTTAAAAATTCGAAAACTCATATAGCTTTTTCTGCTAAATCCTTTCTTTAGCTGCCAGACCTTTCTTTAGCTTCAATCAGAAATGAACAGTCTTTAATATGATAGAACACTCGCCTTCATTTAACGTTGTTTGTGATACCTAACTTTGCTAAAAAAAAACCGAATTGAAAGTTTCTCCTCTATGCGTGGTTGGGAAAAACTACAAAACTGAAGCCTTCTAGCCGTGTAACCTTCTTTGGAAAAACCAAGCAAGCAAAAGAGCACTTTGTTCGCAATTTTGAAATACAAAGAAAATATTTGGTGACTTTAAAACCCTTTGAATTTGAAAAATTATAGGTTTGATACAAAAAACAATGAGACTAATCCAACCAAATCTATATTAAGATCCTCTTTGTCAAAAATCACACCATCTTAATATAAACTTCAGCAGGAAAACAAACTCTACTTCGACGGATTCGAACGACGAACCTTACGTCCTCCTAACTGCGCCATGTTCTCTTGTAGATAGTCAAGATCTAGTGGTCCAGCTGAAACTAGAGATCACTGTTTGAGATTTCTCCAGAACATGTTTAACTGATAAGGAAGAAAACGCCATATTTTAAAAATGTCAAAAAAAGGACGTCAAGGATTTATGCAACTGTAGTTATTTCTCTGCTAAAGTAAGGGAGTTTCCACACCTACTACATGCTCTCTTAATTGAATTCTTAATCTCAAATTTAGCTGAGCAGTTTTCGAAAAAAGTGAAAAAGTTTCCCTTAATTGAAACCTAATGTCAAATTTGGCAGAGAAAGTCTCGAGGAAAAAGAAAGTTCTCAAAACACGGTAAGTACAAAAAATTTCCTTTTTTTTAAAACAAAAATGAGGGCGTAGCCGTTTATGCAGGGAAACTTCTACCACCTATTCTATTGTCCAAACT